CCTACCTCTCTCATCCTCCCACCCTAGAGAATCCTGGATCAATTATATATTGTTATTATTATTTCCTATCTTACACTTTCCTTTGTCTTCCTTTGCAGACATTCACTGATAATTTAGAGCAAGGATCTCTTCTTTTGCAAATAAAGAGGCAATGAACATCCTCTGGAAGTTCCTTTGCAAGTTGTAGCAAGCTAACTTAGAGGAGACAAACTTTTGTAATGGTTTGCAGATGCTACTCATTCCAGCAAGATCTTCTTCCACAGTGGTCCTGATACAGCACTTTCAGTGCTGATGACTACTCAGATCGACCCCCTGGACACCACTGGACTTAACAACTCTGAAATTTGGATCTTTCCTGAGTTCACCTATCAATGAAGGTAAACGCTCAGAAGTCCACCTTTAGCCAGGGTCAGCGCCCCTGCTGAGCCCTTTACTTGTAATATTTGCAGCAGTGAAGGATGACAAAAATAGGCAGCAAGACAAAAGTAACGCAAAAGGCAATTTCAGAGGCACTCACGTATATCTGATTGTTCCCAAAGCGCTTCTGAATTTCGTAAAGCAGGCTGCTATCATTTAGCTCGCTGAGCGTTGCTAGGTCATCATTTGGGGCAGGAGGCATCAGCTTGACCTGGGGGAAAAAATAAGCATGAAGCGTTATAATTGCTATCCAATCAAAAACCATTGTTTTTCACGGTTAGATGTTCCATTTTCAATTACTTGTCAAAATTTAAAGACCATATGAGTCTAAAACTCTGTTATTAAAAGATGAAATGGTGCGCTTAAAGGGAAAATAGCCAACATCCCACAGAGAACTGTACTCTGATTAGAATTTCTCTTCTGTGAGCATACCCCATTCACACACAGACACACAAATCCTGAATACTACGGTCTGTCACTCAAAGTCAGTTCTGTCAAGGTCATCTAAGCAGGCTGACCACTCCAGCAGACTGAATACTTTTATACTTTTTAAAAATATTAGATTTTTTGTACTTTTAAAAAGTCTGCTCTGTATGGAGTCCTTTGCAAAGTGGCAAGAAGAAAACTAAAGTATCTGCACTGCATCTGAAGATTAAGCAGATTTCTTCTATTCCCATTGCTGGTAGCCTAGAGAGCAATGTGGATGCACTATAGCTTGGTCACAAGGGACGAGTCCTGATTTTATTAAAAGTAGACTCTGGATTTTTGATTTATGTATTTTTTGGATTTTCCTGTATTACTTTGACGATTAAGACTGCTATGAGATTAGTGGCTTCTTAAGGGAAAATAATCATTTTCTGCCTAATTTAACATAGAATGACAGAGGTTAAAGAATAGTCAATTTTTCATATTAAAAGACAGGATCATTGTAGATTATTCAGTTAGACTAAAATTTGCAATGTTCACATTCAAAGTAAGTGTTATTTAATTTCATGTGCATTTAAATATAGTATTGTTTTTAAATTTAATGATTATCAAGTGAAAATTATTATACATGCTAGGAAATTAAATTTAGTTATTTCTGTTATTAGCAAATATTTTACAGTATATAATATATCTAATAAGTTTAAGTTTGTCCATTGCTTTCCCCAGGTTGACTCCAAAAATATTGCATTAATAGTTGAGGGTCAAATCTTTATAGGAAATCTCAAGAGATGAGTTGAATAGATTATTTGTTCCAGCTGCTAGATGGTGTTAGCATTGGACATGCTTGTATTAGAGTAAACATGTTTTCTACAAATAGGAAAGACAGCATTGCAGTAGAAATATTTATTCACAAAATAAATTTTAAAAATAATCTGGACCAGGACTGCTCAATACGTTGATCACGATCTACTAGTCAATCGCAATTGTAGTGAGGGTGGATCACATGGCATTAAAGAAATAGACATAAGCCTATCACCAATCCCATTACATAATTGATATACAGCACAGCCAATCAGATGCTCTCTTAGGTGTCAAATGCATGCGCAAACAACTGCGCTAAGTGCAACAAAACCGACAAGCTAAATTATCGCTAATTTTTAGAGCTTGGTTTTTTCTCTTAACATAAGGAAGGGTATTAAAATGAATGGGGTAGCTGGACCAAGTAAGAAGAAAAAAACATATCACTTTCATATGGAATGGGAGATTTTGACACTAAAAGCCGATATTCAGCTGAAGTCCAGAGCCATGAGCAGTTCTGGAACTTACTCGCAGAGGGAATGTACACAAACATGAGAA